CTATTAACATGACTGAGCCTTGACCACACCGCTACAGCAAAACTGGGTTTTGTAATTGTACACTTTTTTGCCACAGCATGAAGTGGAGATGGCTTTCGGGTTTATTGCACCACCACAACAAAGCTGCGTAGYTGTGTTGTAYGGCGTACTTCCACAGCAAGCGTTAGTCACTCCTTTAGTCCTGACGACACCAGCGCAACAGAACTGGGACTTATAATCCAACACATGACGTCCACAGCAAGAGATGGAACTAYTGTTCTTCTTTGCMAGTTTGTCACCACAGCAGATATGCGTCGCCGTGTTGTATGATGTYTGCCAACAGCATGAGTTATGGATCCCTTTGGTCTTCACTATWCCCTTACAGCARAACTGCGTCTTGWAGTCATAGATCKTACCCGCGCTCCCACAACACGAGCTTGTAGGGCTGCTTTTYGTCTTCRCCTTACCAGAGCAGCAAATATGACTGACGGTGTTGTATGGCATTTTTCCATTACAGCAAGCATTATGAGCTCCTTTCGTCTTAACAACTCCAGCACAGCAGAATTCTTTTCTGTTGGCATAAGGTTTTGTTCCACAGCATGAATTGAATTGTCCTTTTGCTGTAAGTTGACCACCACAGCAGATCTTTGTTGTCGTATTGTATGGGGTTCTACTACAGCAAGCGTTAACGTTGGCTTCTCCCTTCTTCTTTACCGCACCATTACAACAGAAGTGGGTGTTGTAGTTGTATGGGGTAATTCCACAACATGAAGTAGAGTTCCCCTTTGGTATTGTCTTACCACTACAGCAAATCTGRGTTACCGTGTTGTATGGTGTTCTATWACAGCAAGCGTTATTCACTCCTTTTGTCCTSACGATACCAGCACAGCAGAACTCGGACTGGTAATCGAACACTTTATTCCCACAACAYGAACTAGCGCTGCTAGCTTTCACTTTTACTTGATTGCCACAGCATATTTGGGTTGCCATGTCATAGGTTACTCGTCCGCARCATGCGTTKTTGTGTCCTTTGGGCTTGACGAGGCCTGCACAGCAGAAGTGGGAGGTATAATCGTACACTTTGCTTCCACAAATAGAAAGAGTACTATTATCATATACTTTTCCTCCAATGCAACTCTGGTTCACAGTGTTGTACGGTGTTATTCTGCAGCAAGCATTATACTTTCCTTTTGGTTTCACGACATCAGGACAACAAAAGTGGGTTTGGAAGTCGTAAACCTTTCCCCCACAGCACGAGCTAGTGGAACTAACTTTCTTTTTCACTTGGTTGTTACAGCAAACATGCGTCATATGATTGTATGGTGTTCTGAAACAGCAATGAGAAAATGTTCCGAGCACCATCGCCTTACCAGCACAGCAGAAATGAGTTTTGTAGTCGAATACTGAACTTCCACAACAAGAAATTGAGCCATTTTTCTCAAATATCTTTCCACCACAGCACATCTGGATTGCTGTATTGTACGGTTTTTGTCCACAGCAAGAGTTATGGACTCCCTTCGTCTTCAACACRCCGGCACAGCAAAAATGGGTTTTGTAGTTAAACGCAGTTCTTCCACAACARGAKGTGAGRCSMYCTTTCTTTGATAGCTTACCACTACAGCAAATCTGGGTTGTCGTGTTGTAAGTTGTTCGCCCACAGCAAGCGTTATGCACTCCTTTAGCCTTTACCACACCAGCACAGCAGAATTGTGTSYTGTAATCAAAYACAGTACTWCCACAACAAGAAGTAGAACTACCTTTTGGTTTGATTTGATTTCCACAGCAAATCTGTTTCATTGTGTTGTAAGGTTTTTGTCCGCAACAGGCGTTATGCAATCCTTTCGTCTTTAACACGCCAGCACAGCAGAACTCTTTGTTGTAGTCGAATAAAGTACTGCCACAACATGATGTAGAGCCGMCTCTTTTTGATAACTGATWACCACAGCAAATCTGGGTCAGTGTGTTGTAAGGTGTTTTTCCACAACAAGCGTTATTTACCCCTTTGGCCTTCGCCTTGCCAGCACAGCACAACTGTGTTTGGTAGTTATACG